GGCATTGATTTTTAAATTAATTTCTGAGCTTATACAGGAGCAAACAACATCGCAGTTATCCTCGTGCACTTAGTTGCCTATAACAATTACGTCTCATGCATGGTTCGAACTTTGGTCAATTCGTTATTTATATTTTATACTCATTATTCACAGGCTATATGGCGGTCCTTTAATTAACTCTTGTATGTATATTTGCATACTATTTAAACAATTAATAATAAATAAATTAACTTATAGAATAGAAAATGGGCTGAAAACTTTTTACCCCCTCCCTAATCGAAGAATGTATTACATCGTTGTAACTCAGTTTTAGTGTACTTATCAGTTCACTGCAAAAAGTAAATTCTTTAATAGATTTTTATGAATGATATTTTTAATTTAACTTAAAAAATTGAAGTTGATACAATATTGATGATTTTTTTAGTCGCATTAAGCTCGACTTCGACATGGAAAAAGTTTACGATTTTTTGTTGGTATTTCATTAAAAAAAATTTTTTCTGGACAGATAGCGCTACTAATTTATTCATATTTTATATTCGATAATGGAAAACTATAATTGTATACTTTTAACTTGCTGCGTAGCGTGCTCTTTCATTTAAAATAAACGACAATAGACGATCGGATGAGTTAGTTTCTGATATGTATAATTGGCATTTAAGATTCACATACCTATCTATCTGTTATTTAAATAATATCCATGTCAACATTTCCAAGAAGCCGATTACAACGCTACTTACCTACTTGGTCGAATTGTGAATCTAAGCCGTTTAGGAGGAGTTGAGTTACATAAACCCGTACAGAAGTATTGTATTAAAATATATACAGTCATACAGATTATAGGGTTATTAATAAAATATAATGATAATTAACGAGGAAGGAATAAATGTTCTGTTAAGTTTTAGTTTTTGAAAATATTTTTTTACGAATTTTGATTCATCGATTTAATTTTGTCAAATTAATGGGTAACTTATATTACCTATAACTTATAAGTAGAATATGATATTATAATCGTGTTATGCCCATGAATTACAAATAGTTCATGGTTACGAAGTTAAGCCAATGTACCAATGATATATAAATGTAAGTATTGATATGCAATTTTATAGTTTTGAGCATGGTTTTTTTTTTGTATACCAGACTATAATGGTTATTATTATTAATCCATGGCATTTATGGTCATCGAACGTAATAATATATAATTAATTGAAGTAACACTGATCAAAAATAATACAGTTGACTTATTAGAAAATATAAAGTAAAATTAAAAATTAAATTAAATAACATCTTAGGTACATAATATAATAAATGAAGAATTTTTTATATTGTATTGGTTTATGCGATTATGTTATTTTAAGCTGATTAAAGATTTTCAATAAAATTGCATGCATTTGAGACATTGTATAGCGCTGGATTTACCGTTTCAGCTAAGTTTTCGTAGATTCTAAATATTTTCTTCTCTTTGTTATATATTTTGCATTTTTTAAGGTTAATAAGGTTAGATGTTCTGTGAAAGTCGAGAAAGACATCACAACACAATCAAATGAAAGTGTATTATTTATAGCTTCTTGACTCTTGATTAAATATAGGTGAGTAATAATTAGTACCCTATTCTAAGTAAGTTGATGTAGGTTTTATACTTCTTAGAGTTATTGACAGGAAGGTTAAAGTTGGATGGTTCTTTTAACAATATTGAATTTAGTGGATAGTTTGTTTTATTCTTTCTTCTACTGAAAAAGTTTATCCATTTCTATTACTTTCTTTATGCCATGATAGAAAAAGAGAGGGTTATAATTTATGAGATCATCTGGGAATGAATGGGCAGATTTGGTGACCTTGTTAGCATGTTCGTTGTCCTCAATATTACAACGACCTGCAGAAATTAATGTGTTATGTAATTTTTGCCGAAAAATTGTGCTCTAACACGAGTGTTCTACATTTTCCTAATAATGTCAGAAGGATTGGGAACATTTTAGAGACTATGATTTAAGTCTAGATAGTGAGTTGCTGAATAGCGTGATACGGACGTCCAAGGATGTCCATGTACAAATATACTAAAAATACACTTTCGAACTAATTGTTACTTTCTATATTTGAAATTGATGAGAAGAAACTTACAATAATATTTATAGTAAGTAATATTTTAAAAAATTGGTGTGAAAATATGATTGCTTTGACAATTGGCGATAATAACAATGTTCTGTCTTACTAATTCTAAAATCCTACTACTACGGCTTGCTATAATGCGCGTCGAGTTTAAACTCAGACCTCAGTGCTTACCTGAATTGCTGCCACAGAAATTCCTTTCAGACAGTCGCTGGTTTACAATTAATATGTATTAAATTATCTAATATAATCAGGGGTTCATAACAAGCATACAATAAATATTCTAACGCGGTAGACGCATTCGTTTATAAATGCATTTGTGGTCGAGTGAGAAATTAGTAATTACTATATTATGCACAATGGCTATTTGATATTTTAAGGAGTCCGAACTGTATAAAATATGTTTTTAAACAAAGATTATATATTAGATGGAAGATTTTGACATTTCCTACTGCTATTTTGGACATTTTATTCTACTCTTCATAATACTAAGGAGGTAATGCCACTAATTAACGAAATGCATTTGATAGGACTGGAGTGGAAAGCACCAATTTAGAGCCAGATTTTCGTATTGTAGATAGGTTCTAACAACCTCTACCCTCTAAAACTTCCACATAATTTAACCTTTGCCACCGGAAATATCCAGTTTCCTGATGGGCCTCTTAGGTTCTGGATGTTTAAGCATTTAAGTACATGATAGATTTAAATATTTTATAAGTACTAGTATACTATCTAAATATGTAAATGATTTATGATAGATTAAAAAGAGTAAAAAAATAATATATTGTACAATTTATTTCTAAAAATACCTAATGTTATAATTTATATATTCAAACATTGAAGTAATTTAAGATGAATTAATAATATATAATAACATCATCATCATATTATTTATTTTTATTTTAAAATTTAACTTATACATTTACAAATAATTTAAGTATTGCAATAATTTCTTGTAATATAAAAACACGATTAACGTATAATAATAGTAACGTTATAACTTATAATAATATATTAATATACTCAGTATTTTATTAATATTACTTCGATAATTAAATAATTAATTATGTTTTCGTTTCCAAATAATTTTTTTTTAACATTCATTTTTTATTATAAAATCTATAAAATATTAGTGCAATAAATGTAAATGTTGTAGGTATTTAATGGCTTTAATAATATTTTAATGAAGGTACTTCAGCGTAGGTGTGTTAATTTTCAGTTTATGTTACCAGGTTCTGACACCACTTACGTTTTAGATACCACTAGTGGCGTATTCACAGAAGGGATCAAGGGGATAAATCCCCCCTCCCATAGGATGTATACACACAAATAGTTATAGTCATCATATTATTTAAAAAATTATTAATATATTTCTTTTCTTTCAATAATTGATTAAATTTGCAAGAATTAAAATAGTATAGTATGTTGTACAATATTCTCATTGGTATCTTCAAGTCATATTCCCCCCCCCCCCCCATGACAAAAACCTAAATATACGTCATTGGATATCATTCAGGGTTACAAAGGATGTGAGGTTTAGCTAGTTTCTTCACAAGCTTTGGAAACAAGTATTGAATCTTTTGTAAAGAGTATTAGTGATTTTGGAGACAATGAGGTATAGAGAGATCAGTATGAAGTGTGCGAATGTGTGATTAGAGCATAGCATGGAGCTTTAGTGATTTAACGAAGGCGCTTCGACTGGAAAGTTTGAATACGATTTATGTTAAGAGGGTCTTATAAATTAATATTTTGTTGCAGAAATTTGTGTGTTTTGAGACAAAGAGAAAGCGAAATGATCGGAATCTGTTATTTAGGATGAGTCATTTATTGTGGATGTGAAGTGTCTGTGTTAGACAGTGGTCAAAGTATAGTCTAAATCATTTATGTAAATTAATTAAAATTTTTTCAGTTAATTTCACATAATATTTTAAATATTTAAAAAAAAATTAAAGAAGTCGCTCACCGCTGTATAGTATAGTAAGTAAAGCTATATAAATGTGAATCATATCTCGTCATAGTGTAGAACACTACTGAGTCAAATTTTAATTGATTTATGCATACCAGTACCTAACCTATACGACTAGAAATCTTGTTTTAAAATTTCAAGTTTTTTATCTAAGCATAACATTTTTTATCAATATTTTTAGAAGAAATACTTATTAGTTATTACTTATTGCTTATTAGTAATTCAAGTTCATTTTTCAATTTAAACTAAAATATAAAATCACGTTTTTACTAATTTCTTCTATTATATTTTAAAGTTCTTAGAATTTTTTCTATTATCTTCCCAAAGAGAAGGTGTACCCACAAACTATGAATTATATAGACGTAATTTACCATCAGAAACCACCTTATTAACAGACAAAAACAAGAAAAATAAAAAATTGTAATACTTGTAAAACTCATACATTTATCCCCGATCGCTCCATTCACTGTCTGAAAGTCTTTTTTTAAGTAACGAAATCAATGTTAAACCGAATATATTATAATCACGCAAATATTATACATAAATTATTCTATTATTTAAAAAAAAAAAAAAATAAATAATTATTATTTTTATGGACGATGTACGTCACGATCGGATAAATATTATTAATAATGATGTGTGCGTGTGAATATTTTATAATATTTATGGTTATACTATACAGTAATATTATTAATGCCGTAAGACATCGGTGTCAAACGCGCGCGGCGGCGAGTCGGTGGTCCCGTTTCCGCGCCGTAATCCCGTCAGTGACGGGCGAGCGCGCGCTTAACAGTGTTGCCAAGATTCTACTAGTCCGGCGGCGGCGCGACGTGCACCTTGCTAGCGGCCCGCGGCCGATCGACGGCGGCGGTGGTCTAGAGACTCGAAGTCTCGAACCACGATTGTAAGTTGTGACACCGCACGAGAGAGCCGGAGTCGTACGTGCACAGCGGCAGGCCACGCACGGGGCGTCCGGCACCAGCATTGCAGCGCACCGAGCACCACGGCAACGGCACTGTACCTACGGCCGCGGCGGCGGTGAGGTCGCTATATAGGAAACCACCTGACACGCCCCCACCGTTTTCCCAGTCATCACAAAGGATCCGCCACTCTCTATAGCTGCATCTTCTAATCAAGCGAGCGCGCGCGCACGTCACGTACACACACACACACACACACACACATTCATATCCACATACGCATTAGTGCGCACACACACGCGCGTTTCAGACGCACGTACCACACACACACAATATATTATATTACTATTAATACTATTATAGTTACAGATACATTTTATTATTATTATTGTTTTTTTTTTTTTTTCAATTTTTTTTTATTTTCTCTTTTGTACGCCACTGACTGATGTGAATAACTTATTAGCGCTGCGCTGGCTCCTCTCGCGTACGGCTGGTTGGTGGTGGTGGTGTCCCGAAAGCGGATTCTCGTCAAACAATAATAATAATAATAATAATAATAATAACATCAGTAGTAACGCAGTATCATATTATTGTCGTCAAGTTATTATAATATCCTCCGACGTTTGCGAGATTTTCGTTCCACCGCCGACGTTGTTCCGTACGTATTGTAATTATTGTTCGAGACTTATTTCGTTGTGATCGCGTCAATATGGCGTAGTGCCGTCGTCCGATTTCGTCGTCGTCGTCGAGCTGCTGCCGTTAACGGTATTGTCGTAGGTAGTTATATAGGTAGGTAGGTAGGTAGGTAGCCGTCGCCACTGTTCAGTGCCAGTGCGATACATAGTTCCGGTAATAATAATTATCATACATCAACATCATACGGTTATTGTATTTTACCTAACCGCCAATAAATAGTACAAACGCGGTTTTGCTTTCATTGTTGTATGGTGCTTTTGGATTTCCAAAGTCTGTGTGTGTAACTGCTACCGAGTAGATAATACGTTAAGTTTGTCGGTGGTGTTGTCGTTGGCGAACCGTGGAGAAGAATTGTCCCCGTTCCATGACTTCGGCGGATTTTTTATCAGCAATCCGACAACGGACATCACCTGCAGTTACCTTGTAGCGTACTAACGTCGCTCGTCAAAACAAACATGACTACGTCTATCAGGTCCATTCCGTCTGACAAGGTATGTCAATTTATATTCTAATCATTTTTAACATAATTTATAGGTTAAAAAACTGTCTGTCTTATTAGAAAGTATATGTTAAAATACATATGATATACCTAATATACACATTGATTTTATCCATTTGTATATGCTATAAAGTTGTCTATACATTTTAGTTTTTTAATTTACAGTATAAGTGCTTGCAGTTGTTTAAATATGATACATATGCATCTTGATATCATCATTAATAACATGTCTACAGGTTGATAGTTTTATTAATAATGATAAATTCAGGCTATTCATTTTTTTGTAGATTGCATAAACTAATTTAAAGAGAAAGTCTACCAGTTCTTTCTTTTTTGTTATGTAGGTTTAGAAATGATTTTTATTATCAAAAATAAATTAAAACAAACTCACAATTATAAATTTTTTTGCCACTAAGTTAAATATTTGCTATGCTTAACTAATGTTTAGTATCTTTCAATGTACCAATTAATATTGCAAGTTAAATATAATTAATTTTTAGTAATTTTAACTATGAAAAAGTATAAATCATTAAGTAGATAGATACATTATGAATATTTTTTGTTATTTTGTGTTAAACATTTTAATTATAGGTGCTTATTGAAGAATATATGTTTAAATGTAATTCTAAATCTTAAAGTAAGCTGCTTCAAGTTAAATAAATAGAATAAACTTATTCAAAATCAATAACTTTTTCTGTACCTAGTTAATTTATAGGTATCAAGTTCAATATAATAATTAAGCCTATAACCAATATAATAATAATTTGTATATAAATGTATTTATTCCTATTTTTGTGATGATTGTATAATATAAAAGAATAAATTTATCAATTTTGCTTAAGTATCTTATGAGTTTAATAATTATATTCTATCATTTAAAATACCCAATTATAAGTAGACATTGTTTTTTATTATTATTATTATTTTAGGTCATGTTTTAATGCACCTAATAATTACTTACTTATTTTGATTGTGTGATGGTAAAGACACATCAATATAGCATCATAAAGTTGCCACATGTAATATTTTTCTTTGATAGATGATGACATTTTACAGTTATTATAACAGTTGTGTTATTAATGAGGTGTCCTCGATACTGTCTATCAATATATTATTATTAAATTATTTATTAGGTACCTATCTAATTAATTTTGGTGTTAATTGCGTATAATATAATTATAATGTAGGTCCTTAATTGTTATCTATACAGACATTATGTTGGTTTAGTTCAAAGTGACTGAATATAGGTTATAGAATATGTCTAAGATTTGATATAGATAGATAGGTTCCTATATTTAAAAAAATATTTTCATATCTAGTTTGGTAAACTTAAAATGTCTTACATTATGATGTTTTTGTAACATATAATTCTTATTTTACTCCAAGAGAAATAAAATAATTCTGAAATATATGGATTTATAAGTATATTTACTTAATTAATGGAAGAGGTTTCAAGTAAAAAAATTAAATGTTTGCCACTTAATAATATATCAAACTATTAAAGTATACCTAGGTACAAGTTATATAATTAGAAGACTGTTCTATGTTTTTATAATGATTGTCTTACATAAATGTTTTTGTTTTATTTTTTTGACTAATAAAACAAGAAATAGGCACCTAGTTAAATTTATCATGAGAAATCTGATAAGCCACAGATACTAGCTATTTTTCTTTATGAAATATTTTATAACTTTTGAATAAAGTAAAAAGTTTTTTTTTAAATTTAAAATGATAGTGAACTCTATTTTTGAAAAAAAAAATGTCTATATATTTATCTAGGTATATGATTTTACTTTGTATTAAAATGTTTTCCAGACAATAGTTAATATTGGACACAACTTCTTCAAGTTGTTGGGGGTAAATCAAGTCTAAAAATTAATACCAATAAATCATTGTAAAACCAATAATTTGTTGTCAAATTTTGAATATTTATTAAAAGAATGAAAAATAGTTACAACTTCGTAGATTGTTATAATTCTTAGTTATTTCTAAGCTTTAATACAATTATTATATTAAAAGAAAATTTTAAGTAGATGAAGAAATGAATTTATTGTTATAAAATATTAGCTTAAGATTATTAGTTATAATTTATGACCATACTTTACAATATACCTACATAATAACTGCTAAAATAATTCTATTTTAGATTTGATTAAATCCAAATTCTTAAAAATTTAAATGTCTTGACCTATACATTTTTACATCTATTACCTATAATTTTTTTTGAGTTATAAGTCCCCTTTGCTTGTCTTACATGTATTGAACATGTAAATATTCATTGCAAAATATCTTTTGATGACGGAACTGCCATAATAATTATTGTTTTACTACCTATAGATTTATATCATAGTCAATATTTGTGTATTGTATTTATTGATCAAAGCATAATCTATTTTCCAGTAAATTTTTTTATAATATTATTTTTTTTTTTTGTAAAATTTATTACTTACAAATAATTTTAGGTCATTTAAAATATTTTTCTGCTTTTTTTTAAAAATTGCATTTTTAGTTCTAAGATCTTTAATTTTGGTAGGTATACTAACTATATTTAAATAATTGACATTCACTATCCTTTTATGACTATTTAAGTTCAAATTATATTCTTATGACCCCTTGATTCTCAACCGGTGTATTACGTATTACCGTGGTGTGTGTTGCCAAAATATTACTTGTTTAAACTGTAAGCTTTCAAAATATAAATAGTATAATATATTAATAATAGTCTTATTATGATATGGTCCATGTGGGGAAGAAAATATTAAAAATACAAACTTAACTTCTGCAGAAAAAGAACATATGAAATATTATTAAATACAACGCTAAAATCTAAATTTGATATGTTTGAAAATGTTTCATTTTGGATTTCTTTACAAAACAAACACACCAGAGTGAGTAAAATGCATTGTAAATTTTGCTTCCTTTTTCAATATCACACGTGTGTGAATCATTATTTTCGACATTAGAAATATCAAAAACCAAAAAAAAAGTATATTTAAAGGTATCGAAATTAAATTATGTGTAAGTTTGTCAAATATTCGCCCACAAATCAAATTTCTATGATCAGTTCACTAATCACAAGTATCGCGCTAATTCTTCTTTATAAACTAATACTTTTTTTGAACTGTTTAAATTTTACTAAAGTAAATTTAAAATTTTTGTTTTTTTATTTTTCATTAAAATGCTAATATATAAATGTACTTATTAACTATAAATTACTTATAAATTTTACTTTTTCAAAAATCCATTACTAGTTGTAAGTGTGTCGTCATTTTTATGGTTCTAAATTAGGGTGTTGTCTTACAAAACCGGTTGAGAACCACTGCATAACTGTATTGTAAGAAATATTTTTAACTATGTTTTAATTTTAAGTTTTATTTTTATTCTTCCCTTCATAAACAAAATTAATTTTTATGTTTAGAATATTAAAATGTTTATGTGTATCTAATAATGTGTTTTTAATTTTAGAGTAACTTAAATGGAAATGGTTTAAAATTTTTAAATTTTAAATTTACAAATTATTCAATTGTAAATGTTCTATAGTTATTCTGAAACTTTTCTATCTAGGTATTAAAATTGATTAGGAATTATGTTATTAATATTATACTTAGATTTTATAATAACTTTGTTATTTTAATTGATATAGGTAAATTATAGATGTATATTTTGAGTTTTTATTAATTTGACTGTTATTAATTTGTTTGTGTTTTATTTTTCATACAAGCACTTAGATATTTGACAGACTAGTTAATTTTTATATTAAGCTTTTAAAATAATGTTATGCTATTATTGATATATTTTTATGTTTTAATTTTGACTATTCACAATAATATGTATATAAAATATAATGTAGGTATATGTGAATAATATATATAGGTAATATATATTTTATTGTTGGGTGTATTTAATTATTATGTGTTATCTTAAAATATAATTACTATTTGGGTAGGTAGATAATTAAAGATGAAGTCATATTAATTGCATTTAAATGTACTGATAACTATAATTAAGTCTTATTTACAACGTCCTTATCACATATTGAAATAAATTATAAAAATATTTTTAATGTAGGTAGTTATTGTAAATTTTGTACTCATTTTTTTAAAATTTTTTTAAATTTAAATTGGAGATGATTATAAAGTTGTTTAAATACTAAGATTTTGATTTTGATTAGATGTACATGTTGATATAATGCTCATTTTCATTTAATAATCTAATACTTTGAAAAATTAATGAGGGTAGCTTTCCTAAGAAACCAAATTAATTTTATATATGTTTTAGTAAGATTTGTTATACGTATATAATATATATATATTTAATTTATATTTATTAATTGTGCAATTTTTTATTTGTACTTATTACAAAATAAATACATAGACATCACTGTTTTAGTAGCTTCATTAGTGTGTTATATTAAGTTTAAAAGCATAATTATTATCTCATTCAAAAGATGGTTCTAGGGGACTAAGGTTTTCAAGGGATAAAGAATTACTATTCAAGATTTTTTTAATTTAAATATTAGTAATTACTATTAAGTTAAAATTTGATATCACTTAATATTTTTTTTTGTTTATGTTCAAAATACTTTTATTTTTTTAATTTTGAAAAAAGATCTTATCCATTTGATTTGCTTATCAATCATCAGTCGAAGGTTTTTTTTATTTTTATTTTTGTCAATGTTTAAAAAAGTAGTTTTTAATGTTAAACACTTAAACACTTGACCTTTAACAACTGAATGAAAAAAATATCCGAACCGTTGTTTTACTAGTAGAATAAAATGATGATTTTAAAACAGTTTTGAGAATTAAAATCCGTACTTAAAATATATGCCCCATAAATTGAATATTTCCTCCATGTGATGGTTAAAAATAATATTGATAGATATTAGGTACCAGCAGTGCTATCAAAGTAGCCTGCCTACAGTCATATTAAAAATTAGTGCAATTATAAATTATTTATAATTTTTAAACGTCGTATTTTATTGAAATTTTTCATAGATAATCGTATTTAACAAATATTTTTTCATTGCTACGTATTTCAAATAACCCAACATATTTCATATTTATACCATTATCTAAGGTCTTAGGTTTGTGTCTATAATGTTTTAAAAATTAGCCCTTTTCAACTTATTGACTACCAAAATTGTTCGACACTAAGAACATAATTCACGAAAGAAAAATCGAAAAAGTTGACACGACAATTACGTATACTGCCATTACTGTATTTTAAATTTTGTATATTATTATTGTATAAATGGAGTTGAACTGATGATAAAAATCCGTTATTTTTAATAAAAACACGTGCATCAAAAATTATATATATATATATATTCATGTATTATGTTTCATAACATCTTTAATATTTCTATTGAAAATATTTTATTTTAAATTGATTTGTGCAATAATTATTTTTCAAAAATGTCATTAATTTACAAGATTATCATATCATATTATTTTACATGACTTCTATTTTGATGATCCATAATTTTATATTGATATTTAATTTATAAATTAATGCTTTCTGAATTGATACATCCGGTATTTTTGAACTATCCATGCAATAGTTTATTTAAAACTATAATTATTTGTACTATACTGTTCTCCAGGGGATCTCACCATTTGTATCTACAATCTATTATTAATTTTAATGATCCAGATGCCATTGAAATGTATTATTGTTATGTAAAATATTTGTCATATTTTAGTTTATTTAAGTTTTATTTTTATATTATGTTATATTTTTATAAACATATTATATAAATAAAATGTTATATATATTCTCAATTTACAATATTTATTGTATAGATGTAACCCGCAAATATTAATAAAAATACCTATTAAAGTTTTTTTTTTAAAAAAATGCGAATATAATATAATGCATAGACCATGGTGTGATCTTCTGATGTATGTATGTCACAAATATTTAGGGATCAATTTAGGTTATTATAAAACTATAAATATATTTTTGTCTAATATTTGGATTAAACAGATATTATAAAAATAACACTAAACTCTTGATTTTAATATTTGAAAAACGATAATAATTTTAGTAGGTATTTAAAATATTTATATATTTTAAATACTAATACCTATATTTTACACTTAGAACAAAAATAGTAAAATCTAATTTAAGAATACTGGATCAGTTTATTAGCGTTTTAAATATTATAGCTTATGTTTCTTAATAATGCGATATTTACAATTCATATTTAATATATCTTTGTTGTGCAATTTTGCAAAAAATATAACAATATAAGTGTAACTTCTACAAGGCTGTCTATTTTATGTAGGTATATTGATTTTATTATTTTAAAGAAGTTCATTCAATGTCTGCGATATTTATGAAGATATTATAAAAGAAATTATGCTAGTTAATGTATCTCATATTTATTTTATAGATAAAAATATTTTATTCATTCTCAAATTAAATGTTTTTATTAGATTTTACTCGATACATGTCTTTGTGTTTATACTATTGCTTAGTATAAGCTCTTTAATAAGTATTATTTTTTGAAATATTTTTAGCGTGACCTATTTTGTTACACTTAAGCAATAAACTAACGCCCAACAAACAAATGTAATTAAAAAAAAAAAAATTATTCGAAAATATTAAATATATTATTTTTACTGAAATGTTTTTTTGATAATAAATTTTGTTAGTGTCTTACAATAAGTTAATAAATTTTTTAATAAAATGTTCAAACTAAATAAGACATACATTTAATAACATATAAAAATAATTAAGTAATTAGATTTAATACCTGCCATTTAAATATCTATATTATTACATTTATATATGTTTTAATTTAATTTAATTGTTTTTTCATAAATTAATAAATTTAAGTCTAAATGAATCATGAATGGTTCAATTTATTTTAATTAAAATAATTTTCTTTTATAGTGTACAGATACTTAATATTGATTAACAAAATTGTATAATATCTTTATAAGTTATATAAAAATACGTTTGTATTAAATACAAAAAAAAAAAAAATAATAAATATATAATATAAATTTTATATTTATAATTTTTTGATATTTACTAGCTACATAAAAACATTGTCATACTGATATTTTTCAAATTTTTAATTACTTATTTTCTTTCTTATTCTAAGAATAAATGAAAAAAAGTCTTTTATTGTCTATGAGGTGTTTTGTCGACTGTTAGTTATCAGCAGTTTTTTCCCTTCCTCTTTGTCTCTTAGTCTACCACAGAACCATCAGAATATCGATTGCGCCCTTCACCCGGTGGTAGGTTTCGTTCTCATTCTCCCTCCTTTTTGCCTTGGAACTGAGCCCTGGTGACCCATTTCCGTTTAGCAGGACCACCCTTTTTGCAACAGACGTGTTCTATTTCCGAGAATAAACTTCCAACGAATGTTTAAATACTACAAAAAAAAATAATTATTAATAAAACATATGTATTTTACAAACAAATCCATCAACTTTTTATCTGTAAAATTAATATTTTAAATAAGACGTACTCTCATGTTTATTTTTTAAAAATGTCTAAACTTACTACTCTTATTTTAGAAGACAATGCATTTTATTGTCTACCTATATAGATTAAAGATATAAATGCAATGTTTGCGAGAACTTAAGTTTTAATAATTGTCGAAATGTTTTACATAAAAGAACATAGAGATGACTCAAAGAGTTAAATGCAATTCTTATTTTTCATTAATAATTTTATAATTTCTAAAAGTTATTTAAAACAAGAATATAAAAACATATAGTGGCAAAAATTACATAATATTATCCGACGTATTATTATAATTATTGTTTATCTACAATATAAATTGCATTAAGAAATAAAATTATTTTTTTATTAAAAAATATCTATGTTAAATATCCAATAGTTTAGATAGGTATATATTACATACTATTAATTTATGTTATAGTTGTATTAATTAATAAAAAAAAAAATATTTAATCGTTTTTTGTTATTCTGGTAAAATGTATATCTTGTAATCATCAATTTATATTAGTTTTAGCTTTATTCATACAACTATATGATATATTTTCGTATATAAATATATAATAATCTACCTATTTTATTTATTTAATTATGTAATTTGATGATTTCATGAAATATCTTATTCTTAACCCAACGCACGTACATAATATATCAATACTTATGTGATGTCCGTACATATTGTCCTTGCTTATAAACAAAAGCATGAATTGAATAGGAGTAGAATGTGAATTTTACTTCCCAGTCTTCAATTTTATTGTTTGTCTTATTTTTTCTGGCAGTCTGATTGTTTGTAGAATCTTCAATTCTGATTTTGTGTTTTACCTATATAGAGTCAGTTTATATCGAAGTTGACATTTTTAAATTAAAATATGGTTTTCAGTTATACGCCAAAGAGCGATAAATTGTCTGTAGATCATGATTTAGTTGTTTTAGTGTCAGTAATAAATGGTCTTAACCCTGAAGATTTGTTAAAAACTAAGGTTCTTTTTGTATAAAAACTAACTTTAATTATAAATTTAAAAATAATTTATTGGTATTAGATTCATGCAGATATTTTAATGTTTATATTTATGTTATAGATAAACCTCAGATTGATTCTTGTCAGCGGTAAAACTAAAGAATTCATATTTAGCCCTAACGACTCGGCGGGTGATATAGCTCAAGCAATTTTTGATAATTGGCCAGAAGGTAAGATTTATTTTTAAAATAGTAGTATTAAAATTAGTACTGTAAAAATTTTAAGCACGAGTATTAAAAATAAATAAAATATTGTAAATTAATTGTATTTGAATTGAAATTAATTATACAATTTAACAAACTTCATTATTTAAGTCCTTATTGTTAGATTGTCGCAAGAAAATTTTAAATTTACCACAAAAGAACATACTAATTATATTTTACACTAATTCAAAGCAAAATTTAAGATTATTTAAAAACTTTTCTTTTAGTTAACTAATTATCTAAAATTTAATAATATATATTACAAAACAAATATTTAGATTTATTTTTCTCTAATTTACTTACTAAGTAAATTGTTTCTTTTTTTTCTAATGTACTTGAATATAATATTATGTTCATTATTTTCACAAATAATATTATGAGTTATAGCTATTAACTATAATTTGCCGATTATTTATGCTTCTAAAAATAAATAATCGTAGTTCAAATAACTCGGACTAATTATTTATTGTAATTAAAATTTAGGACTTTAACTAACGACGAATCAGGATTTAGTTTTCTTAATTTAATTGTTAGAGATTTAGATTAACATGGAATGAAAACTATTTTTTTATAATAATAAACAATACACCATAATAGAAACAAAATTTATAGCATACGTACTGGCTACAAGGTTATAATTTATAAAAATTTTAAGTAATGTTTTAAGTTATAATAAAAATGGCGTGTATCTACTACCTGTCTTATGTCTATTAGAAACAAATAAAAATAATACATTGTTATTGCTTGTAAGTTAATGACGTAAGAGAAAACGATTATTTACTAAAAACAACATGCTGTATTTACGTCATAAAAATACATTTTCATTATTATTATAAATACCTACAATGATATACTTTTACACAATAATAAATAATAATAACAAGCCAATTATATATTTTTTTAAGTATATTTGAATTTAATATTTTTAAAATTTGGCCTAAGCAGACAAATACATTTAAATATTTATTTTTATATTTATTTTTTGTCTCTTATTTTAAAAATTAGATATAATAAAATAGTATTTGGACGTTATTAGGTTGTCATTGGTCTATTCTTATGTATAAAGTAATATTATATTAATCTGAATAGTATATTCTTTTTAGTATAAAATCACGCGTGTTATATGTAATTGAGTGTGACAGTAAAATATGATTTTATTATACATTGCAACTAGCCAACATTTAAAAACAGATAATTTTATTGTAAACACTTGTAGAATAATTAATTGTTAATACTATTTGTGTTGTATCTATAAGATGAAGTTTTCATTTGTATAAAATCATTAAGACTAAAGAGCATTGTTTTGTCCAAGGATATCACAAAGATTCCGAGGATAAAAAAAAATTTTGTGAGGCTCAAAATTCATTAAATGAAAATATGTTATTTAACTTAAAAATATGCGTCTTGTAAAATTTAATAAAGTTTGAAAAATCATATTAAAATAACGTCATATGTTATTACTTATTAGTTATTACTAATATAAAACTTAAAAAATAAAATTTTAAAAATTATTGTTATTGACATTGAAAGATAATGTATAGTATCTATGGCTATTATTTTAATACATATTTTGTATTTTGTTATAAGTACATACAATTATATTTTTTAATTATTGTATTTTATTTTCTTGGACTTGTCTATATTTAATAGTAACCATATTAAATATAATAATAATTTGAAGGTATTATTTTTTATCTATATGGAAATTAACATTTTAGCGATCCAAAAGTGTGACTGTTTTGACCTGACTATTTTGTCTCTGTCATTTCTCTTTCTCATCGGTTTTACTAGTTAAGTATTTTTCTAAAAATTATTAGATCCTTCATTTATTAATATTTAGGGCATAATCTCCCTAGGAATACATTTATTTATGTTATGAATTTATGATACTTATAAAAAATTTAGTATCTAACTTAAGTTGAAATAATACTGATTATTTTTCAGTAAAAGTATTTAAATAATACAATTTTTGAAAATAAATAGTTATAAATATTTTTATTCCAATTTTTTGTGAAATTTTACATTTTTTCATTTAATAACATTGGAGTGAAAGCTTCATCTTTCAATTTTTTTTGTTGGCCGTATTATAAACCATGTAAATGTGCCGGTTGACTGGCAAAGTGGCGACTGAGTTTTTTAAGACTTTCTCTCACTTTGTTTTGCATCTACAAGGTGTATCATGTACACAATAATAACGTTCAATTCAAAACGTATCATTAAATAGAAGAACTACGTATACTAAACGTAGATATAATATATGTAGTTTGATTTACACGCTCATTTTTCGATTTTTTTCTTCAAAATATGTGTTTTAACTGTTTCAAGGTACTGATTTCGGGTGTTTAAAAATGATTGCTCTTCCTTACTTTGGATGTTATGTACCAAAAAAACTAGAAAACTTGACGTTTTTAAAAACTGTGATACCTCTTCATTGTAAAAATCTCAAAATACAATTTTATTTTTTTAGTATTCTTCTTTAAACCGAATATGAAGGGACAATCAGATTTCAACTATCATAATTAATTTTCAAGTTACACTTAAAAAAATATAAAAATTAAGTAAAAATATAGGTTTTTCAGTATTTATTTTTAATAAAATACACAGTTAATGTTCTATTTAGTAAAGCTTAAAATAACTTTAACATTGGGAATTGTTATTTTTCATTCTCCTTTTTCGGGGGCCCTTTTTTATTTACTTTCTAAGTCATTTATCATAATACTTTATTAGTCTGTTATCATCAGGGCTCTTTAAATATGATATATTCTAATTTCTTGTTCAATTGTGGTTCTATATGTGTTGTTAAGATAAGTACTGAAAACCAACTGAACATGTTTTTGTTTTTATTATTATTTTTTAATACCTACCATAAAAATAATTTTAATAATTAAAACTCAACATTTAGATAAGAAAACAAAATTGGAAAAATGTCTTTATATTAAGCGTAAAACATGTACTAATTTAAAAAATAAACTAAGTGTCTTTTTGAATTTTTTTGAGGGTACTAAGAAAGTATGAAAAATAATAAAAAATAATACATTTTTTTAATATAATTTCTTAAATTCAAAAGAGTGACTCTTTTTTTAAATATTCAAATTTAGTGTCCCAAATTATAACTTTTGTAAATAAGAAAAAAATCGAAAATGAGTACAACTAATACGAGTAATATTATACTTAATAACATTTGTTATTTGTTCCAAAACGTATATCAACATTTTTTTCGGTAACTAATTGGATGTTGCTAGGGTATTATTATAATCTAAAACTTAAAGGTAGATAACTATTATATCCACAAATTATTAATATACCTCTATAATATGTTATATATAGTGTGCATACTTGATGTATATTGTTTATGTTTGTATTCATAATTAAGTTTTTAACTTGTAGTGTAATTCTGTTATGATTTAAACAGAATCAATATCACGTTTTCTACAGAACTCCGAGAAAAATATTCATACATACAGATTTTTATTTGACTATAGCTAGTATGGCAACTAATGGAATTATGTATTGTTATTTGTTATATATCATTGCACACTAGATAAGTACTTTTCTAGTAGACGTTGCCCCTCAAATATTTATTTTTTGATTCTGAGTGGATGTATTGCTTTTATATAACATTTTTTGGGTACGTGTTAACAGCGATAATGCTCTAATATTCAACATTGAGGAAGGATTTGGGATAAAAAATTGGATTTTGTTTGTACTTAAAAAAGCCAAAGTTGAAAATTCTCAGTATTTTTCTATAGCACAATCGGGAAAAACCAGTAAAAAAATTAAGGAAAAACATGAATTTTAATCTTCAACAAGGTTTAGATAAAATTTCTTTTTTTTATACAATTCAAAAATAATTAACCTAGAAACTTACAATTTTCAATAAGTTTTTATATTATAAAAACTATTATTATCAATTTCTTTATCTAGTACAATTTACTAAGCTATATTTTAAATCTATTTTTAAACAATTGAAATTTTCGATTGTTTTTTTTTAATGCTATTAAAAGAAAATTGTGATTAGATAAAAATACTGGGAAATTTAATACGGAATTCTTTATAAGTTGTTAATTTCCCAATTAAGAAATATCATAAATTCAATGTCACAATATTTTTTTTAAGCGTTTAAAGATAGAATTTTGAAAAAATCTTAAAAATTACAAATTATTTTGTTTATAGCTAATTTTTAAATTCAAATGTTCACGAGGAAAGATTTTTGAAATGTTCATCATATGTTTTTATTATAATTTTCTATAAATGCCAATAACAAATTATTCATTTGTCATGAAAAAATCTAATTTAAGATGTTCTTAAATCTTTATAAAATTTATAAAAATACATAGGCATAATTTTTTTTATATGTTTGAAGTTCAAATTTTTATAAAGTTTGTTATAATCACAAACATTTACAAACTACTAGTTTTTTTTTTTTAAAGTACTGTGTAATAGTAGGTATCAAATGTACATATCTCATAATTGAATACTTATGGAATGCATGTGTTAAATTTTAATTTATTGATAAATCATATGAGGAAAAACGATTCTGAGTAAAGATGGTATAATCTTTTTGTAACCAAAAATATAAATAATTTAATAATGATATTATGTACTTAATAATTGTTAGTATTTTAATTGTTTATTTTTTCTTGATTATTTTTTATGAAGTATTGATAAAAATCTCTTTCCAAAATTAGATCCTACCAATTAGATCCAACTTGTTTCTAGAAACTTCCTTAAAAATTGATAATCAGAGCATTTTTTAAAAAGTGTCTTAAATACAAAAATAAAAATAGAAAAATATTTTAATTGAAAATAAATATATTCATTGCTCTTTTTAGAATCTAAAATTAGAGCAAAAAAACTAAGAAATCGTGATACCTAAGCGATCGATTTACTTATTTCATACTATATTGTAAATATTGTATTCTAATATTCTAATGCATTAGTGATATTAAAAGTCTCATGATGAATGGTTACATTTAAGACCTCATAGTTTTGGCATTGAAATTTGCAATTGATGTATCTATACGGCTGTCTAGGAATGCGTAATTACTAGTTAGTATCTACTATATAGTATATAGTAGTTATTTAGCAATAAAAAACAAAACAATTAATGTATTTGTTGGAATCATAATTCTTACTTTCACAAATCTTGAGATTTTTTTTTTAGAACATTGTAAAACTATGGAAAAGATTAACTGTTTTTATGACAAGTTTTTCTTTTATCACTCATATTTCTATTGTATTTAATGTGCTTGACTATTGTTGTACATATGATAAGTTATAAGCTTATAACTCAAATAGTATGTACTGGCCTTAATACTTTTTTTATTTAGAAAAATATTTAATTACTGCGGCTTTGTAACATTGCCCATATCTACTGCTTGAATAATATGTGTATATGACATATTTTATTCTACGATTGATTATAATTAATATTATACTATTGCCTATTATATTATATCAGTGTATTTAAACATTAAATTATGCTTTATAATGATTATAGATTGGGCAGACGAAGCAGTCGAAAAAGCAGAGATCCTCAGACTGATATATCAGGGTCGTTTTTTGCACAGCAACGTCACATTGGGTGCTTTAGGACTTGTACCAGCCCGTACCACTGTTATGCATCTTGTACCAAGGGAAACATTACCCGAACCTAATTCACAAGGTGAGATATAATATAATGAGTGAACAATTTCTGGTCACTAGTCGTGGTCTCCAAATGTTACTACTTATTCTTCTAATTCACAGCCAACATCTGAAAATACTAGTTGGCAACCTCAAAATTCTTTGGATCTTTAATTAGTCTAGTGATTGGTATTTAATTGTCATTGTATTAACATTAGAACCATTATCGGCCAAAGCTTAAAAATTTATTCATTTTTATTAATATTATTATTATTTTTATTTATTTCTTATTTTTATCTTTTTTTCAAAGGATATGTAACAAAGTTTATTAAAAATATACATGCACTAATTATTTTTGTTTAAAATTGAATAAATAATTTATAAGCTACTAAAACAATTTAATATTATTTTTATGTTCTAACAAAAAGTTTTTATATAAATTAATTTAATATTGCTATTAAAGAATTTGTCAAATTAAAAATTAAATAGTTAGTTTATATAATTTGAGCTATCTTCAATAATACTAGTAAAATTTAATTCTTATGGTATTGAATTTAAATAATTTTAAAAAAATACAAACTTTTAATTTTAAAACTAATAATGGTTTTGAAAATATAACTCTTCCTTCCTTCTACTTTTTCATACATAGTAATCTAAACTATATAGATTCAGTTAAATTTTTATTTATTAATAAAATAAAATACAATAATTTAATATTATTATTTTTTCTAGATCAAAGACAGAAAAGTAAAGGTGCAAGCAGTAGTTGCTGTTCAGCTGCCTGTACTATATTATGAATGTGTTCTATAATAATGCAAATATTGTGTATTTAGTAAAAATAAATTAAGTATGCTTCAAATGCAACTTTCAAAACAAATGTTTAGTGAGTGGTCTCACCATTTACCCAATGATGAATTGTGACCATTGGTGGGTTAATGTTCTATAGATTTTTTTGACTTGTATATTTTCAGATATCCCCTCCAAATTTTTTTAAATTATTATTATTAAAATTATTATTATTTTTTTTTTTATTAACTATATTATAGATAGGTCTAAGGACAAAAAATGTAATTAAACATTATATTAGGGTTATAAATACATCACGATTATGACACAAGTATAAACCTATTTCATTTGTGTCTGTCTTTTAAAAAACTGTGTTCAATTTATAAAAATGAATGCAACAAATTTATACCATCATGGTTATAGATAACCGAACTATCTCTTATTTTGTATTGTTGCGATTCACGATGAAAATCTGTAATCTTTACTATTTTATGTTATTTAGATTTGTTCTATTTCCTTTAAACAACAAAAAAAAGTTAATAAAAAATAAAAATATTTTTATAAAAATATATATGTATACATTTAAAAAATAAATGTAAGTGCACGGTATATGATTACTGTTCTCCATTTGTCTTTATGATGTATATTATGTGTAAATAGTAATATTCATTCGTACATTTAAATTATGTTTTGAATTATATATTCGGGATGAATGAAAAAAACTTGCAATATCTCAGAGTCGTGCTTTGGTTTGTGCTCATTATTCTTAAGCTATATAAAATATAAACTTGATCTTATTGTTGTATGGATATTAATTATATTGGTTGTCTTAAATCATAATGTTTATAAAAATATTATAGTATAATATACACTATTATCAAGAAACTTAAAATACATAAATTATATTTTTTTTTTTTTTTGCTTTTACTCTCTTCTGTGATTTTTTCGTTATTATACAATTTTTTTAGATATGTAATTGTGTAATATAGTTCATATATACATGTATAATCTCACCTTTTTGATTCTTGATGTAAATTGTGTTTTATTTCTAATCTCCTTATTTTTTTAAACCGAAATTACATTTAGGATTAGGTGTATATTATTATCGTTGTCGTTGTGTAAAGTATATTAAGAAAAATGAATACATAATTATATATATATATATATACATATATAACATATATGATTATTTTAAATATAACAGTATGTATTATTATTATCAATATAGTATTATTTAATATTGTTCGTAAATATTTGAATATTAATTTAATCCCCTAAAAAAAATGTAATGTTAATAATTGTTGTTACAACAATATCTTTGTTAAGTATTGTTCAGTAAAATATTATGACACTTTGTTAACATCTTAGTATAATATTCCACTTAATATTATGACTGATGAGTGAAAATTTTAATAATTGATCTAACATATGTATTTGGTAGTTTCAAATCATTGTTGGTTTTCAAGTATGTATTTTATTGTTCTGTGTACAAACAATTTGAAATATTAAAGAAATTAGGGTTTTATATGAATTTTATTTCTGTAAAATAAATGAAACTTAAATTGAGATTATTTGATCCAAAATTCCAAAATCAATTTTTAATATAGATATTTAAATATAAGTAATATGTTATTATTACTATTATTAAATTATGAATTTATATTATTGGAATATTTGTTTTTTGATAGATTGTGATTCACAAATTAAGGACAATTAATATCTGCAATGTTTAAATAACAAGTTTAAAAATCTCAAAATATTTAATCTTAATATTAATTTAATTTACCATGTGTTTCAAAAATATCCAATGGAATCTAAGATATCTGTATCACTAATCTTGTTTAGAAGCCGATAGATGAGATACGGTGGATTTGTTGTCATTTTGTTATACCGATAAAATTTATTATGTGAAATTATATCCAAAATAACACTAAAAAAGTCTATATTTTTGAATTAATCTTATGGTGGTATTAGATATTAACACTGGTTCCATTGGAGATGAATTTCTGAACATATGATATGGCATACAAGTAATACGAAGAAATGTGTATTAATATTTAATCATTTTTAAACTATTTATGTCCTTAATCTAGAGGTTCCCAACCAAGGTTTTGTGGAATTAAATATTACTATATATAATTAATGTAAAAAATAATAATTTGTTTTATAAAATAAATCATGTGTATATACTATTTTTGATTTTACTTAGGAACTTAGTTAAAGAAAACCAAAGTTACAAAATATAAGTACAAAAACACGATATATTACTATGGAAATATAGAGTATGGACTATAGAATGCCTCCAGAGTTTTAGAAAATACCTAGTGTCCTGAGTAAAAAAGGTACCTTGCCTTAATAATTATTTGCATTAATTATATATGATATGTATATTATATTGATAATTGTATTTCTATTAAAAGGATATCAGAAAAGTATTTGTCTTTTTCTCAAACTCATGTGCACGAAAGATAAAATGTATTTACGCAAAATTTTTTTTTTATGATTTTGAAGTAATTGTGGATTAAAAAAAGTCTATTCCGGAAATTGTAGAAGATAATATTTTTGAAGGTTTGACATATTGGTTTTACTTTTTATTGTTATTTGTCTTAATATTTGAAAAATAAAATGCAATGAATATTAAATAGTGTAAAACAATATTTAGTTAAATAAATATGTCATACTCTTAATAATACTATTCTTTATAGTTTTTACAATTAGTGATTTTACTCTAAGATTACTCTAAATAGTCTAAATCATAAAAAAAATGATCTTGCATGAATACATTTTGTTTACGGGTGAGCTAGAGAGAGAAAACAGACAATGCGCTAACATCCTCTTAGTATTATAACGTAGGCACTTAAATTTCACATTAATGATATATTTATGTACAATAAAAATCAGTTATTGGCCAGGTCGATATAAAATAACAATTATAATTTTCATTTGTATTAAGCAATTTATGAATGCCGTTAAATTCAAAAAAAGCCTATAAACAATATGCTGTTTATAGTAATGTATTTATTAAGGACTGTAAGCTGTTAAGGGGTCTTAATATCAATTGGCTTTAGATAAATTTATTAATTTTAATGTTTTTATTTTTGTGTCTTATCCGTCATCACCTTTTAGGGTAATAAAATTCTATGATCTTTAACTTAATCATTTTTAAATTGGTATCTGCAGGCAACAAATTGGATATAGTTTGTACTTTGAGGGATCGATTTCTAGAACTTTTCTATAAATTCGTAAAAAATAAAAAAATTCTATTTCTCTTACTTCGTTTGTACTTGTTTTGACTAAGACTTTTGCTATGAATTCGTTTAAAATTGATTTTTATCGTATTAATTTATTCGTTTATAATATTTAATAAAATAATAGTGAATAGTAATGCAGGACGATATTGATGTAAGATGTACCTAACTATAGTTATTTTCTCAAGGATATCGATATTCGATATTGATATTTGATACTAATACATTGCAATTTGATATTTATATTTTTACAGAAAATAAATTTAATGATTTAATCAGATTAATATGAAATAATAAATTAAAAAATATAGTTAAGTGGGTACTGGGTACCTCTCTGCTGTAGATTAAAGGTAACTTAACATTATCCAGAGAGTACTACCAGTCCACAAGATGGCTTAATTTATTGGGTGAAACTCAAAAGCGCAAATCGTCTATTTTTTTTTTTTTTTTTATGATAGACCATAAGCTCAAAATAAATATTGTATCCGTTACATCACAAGTTTTATTTTAAAATTGTTATTTATTAAATTTAATTAATCATAATATTGTATTTTCATAATTCTAAAATACATCAACTGCAGTGATTGAGTTGAAGTTAGGTATTATTGTATCGTATTTTATCGTAACGAATTACGGTGAAGGTTGATAATTATTTAAATATTCAATGTATACCTACTGTATAAATTTATGTCTGACTTATTAAATACATTTTATTTTTGTAAAATTTATTTTTGCTTATGGTTTGTTAAAAAAGTAATTTTTTGTGCTTATGGAATATTTGTTTTTACGCTTTTGGGTTGCGTTTGGGTCATATTTTGCGCATATAGGCTACCCTTTTATTACTTTAAAAATGTATTGTGTATTTTTACATGAGTAAGTATTTGTAATTTATTTCAATAATGTGTTAAAAATATTATAAATTAAAAAAAAAATTTAACATAAAAAGTATAAATCGTCAAAACATAATTATTCAATTAGTAGTTTACTAATAAATAACTTAAAATAAGTGTTCACTAAAGTATGTATTATAAAAACGTGACCAATAAGTGCTATACTATTTTTGGGCGAACGAGGTCTTATCCAATATTATAGTAGGTTGATATATTTTTCCCGAAAATATTGTATTTATTATATTATTTGTATTTAACTATTATTGTTATATTTATACCATATTATGTGAACTAAATAGCTCAAAATGTATTAACATCTTTCTTTAAAACCCGTAAAACAGTAACAGATAACAATAGATTAATAATATCTAAAAATAGATAATATTTTAAAATAAATCAACAATTTTCTTGCATATAGTAAAATTCATAATAATATTTAAATACATACAACTTGTAAGTTCCCACAAATAATGTTTTTAAATTATAACCAGGGCTGTGAATTTATAGGAAAGTGCATTTTTTTTTTTTGGTGATTGTAAAACATCGCTTTGTAAGTAAATAATTTGAATTATATAATTACGAATCCATCTATGAAACTTTATTATTTTGCATATTTTTTGCATTTTTTGACGTTTTTAATTTTTTAGGTCATATTTTGCTTTTTTTAGTTCATTTTCTAGTATTTTTAACCAAATTTTGTCAATTAACTTGTTTGAAAACTTTTTTTTATTTTACACAGGCTGTATATATTATGTCAATTTTTTTAACATTTTTATTAAATAAACACTTTTTTGTACTAATATTTAATATCCTGTACCTAATATTAATATAAATATAAAAATTAAATTAAAAACCATTTTAAATGAATTTTATACTATAATTTTTGGCATTTTATATTCCTTTTTTTGCATTTTAAGTGCATTAAATTCACAGCCCTAATGGCTAATTATAACAAATTAATAAACATATCGTTATGTACTTATGTATCGTTTAAACAAGTAATTTAAAATTCTATAAATATAAATGTCTTAATATATTGTTTAGATTTTATTGTTTCAATATGAAATATTTATGAAGAGGTGTATTACATTTTCAAAACTTAGATACAAAAAGAAAAGTTTTTATGAATTTTTTGCAGTTTTTATAATTGTAATGACAACTAAAAAATAACTAAACGTTATATCGTTAATATGTATTAAATACGTATTCTAGGAATAACATCAATTGGGTGTTTAGTTTAGATGTTTACTAGATTGCATTTTTGGAAATAATGAGTTTTATACGTGATATTACAACTGCCAAAAATAAATTAAAATGCGAATTAATGAATTAAATTTTTTTTTAAGATATCATAAACATATAATTGCATATTATGATAAAATTGTATAAGGTACCTACAATAGTTTAATTCAGGGGTCACCAATTAATATTTTTGAAGGATCACATTAAGAATCTGAAAATTTTTTGCGGTCCATCGAAATTCTAGGCACATATTTTTAACATATATTAGGTATTATTTTAAAATTGGATGTTGTACTTATATCAGTTATTATATATACCTACAAATAGATTGTAGGATCAATCGAAACACAAAATAATAATTTTATAAGGTTTATATAATTATACCTATGCATTGGTTTTTTTTTTATCGTCATTTTAAATACCTACTTAGTTGGCAATGTTCAAGAATCATAATTCATAAATATAAGTATGTGGTATTAATGTATAGGTATAATTTAAGCATACTAGAATAGAAGTAGCTTGTAAAAAAGGTTGAAATAATCTGTACAAAGGATTCTTCGCAAGTTTTATTTTTACAACGGTTATAAAAATACTAAAAGTCAACATTTTCATAAATGTGTGTCGGCCTTGTTTAATGTTAGTACATCAAATAACATAAGTTACAAAACATTTATTTGTGTAAATTAATACTACTAACCAAAAATTATATGATAAGTAGAAAATGATAATATAAAAATTTTATGAAAATTTTAAATAGGTATCTAAAGTTTTTTTGTTTTCAAGTTACACCGAAAAAACAAAATTGATTATTTCAAAAATTTGATTTGTTTATAAATTCCCGATATTATTAATTTTTTGTTTGTTTTTCTCGATTAAAAAAAATAAGTAAATACTTGGAATATTTAAGTTTGACCTCTTTAAAGTACAAATTAGATATAATTTGATACTCAAGACCACCTTCGTTTTTGAAAATTGTAGCATTTTATTGACAACTTAACGTGTACTCGTCCACAAAATATTACTACCTACATCATTGTAAAATCAATTAATTTTCTCTACTAAGAATATTAATGCTTTTTGATATGAGTATATCTGTAAAAAATCTTTGGTAAATTTATTTTTGGTATTAGATAATATTGGTATTTAATATTGATATCGCCTATTCTTTGGTATTACGATTTCGCAGTGACTACGCCTAGGTACTTTTGTGAAGACTTAGTCTAACTTAATCACTAAAATGTCCATTATTGATAATTTATGAACTAACCTATACATATTCATGTTTTACCCTTCTTTTTAGTCTGATTATGACTCACGGGGTAGGTGTCAAAATGTAAATAATACTGTAGGTACCCTTATAGTTTTTAAAGGTTTGCACCGCCACTGTTCATACGAAATCGCTATAATTATGAAATTATATCAATTTAAAAAAATATCTTGCTGCAGTTTGTTTAACAGCTTGATATCGGTTTATTAGTCAAAGGATCATTTTGTACAACTTTAAACTTTGTATAAATTCAGTTGCTAAGAACTAAACCCGAAAAATATAGTTGTTAACGAATAATGATCTAGTCGTGCAGGGAAGTCATGTGGCTCAGTATTTGACGACCTATACACAATGATTCTACTAAAGAAAATTGAATCATTATGCAGTAATTTAAAAATAAGTCGGGTAAAATTAATATTTTCACTAAAAACAAATAAAAGCAATTGATTGTGTATTGAGTATAACTATAAATATTATTTTTTCTTAAATATTGAAAAATTATTTATAATAAGTAAGAGAGGATCTTGAAAGATAATGTTTTCCACAGCCTTTCGAAGTTTTCGGTTATTAACACAATAAGTTATGCATTATTAAATTATGTTTGTACAATATTGCATGTATATAATATATTAAGTGAATATATAGTGACTAAGGCAATATATTTATATGGTTAGTACAGTGTATATATATATATAGAAATGTATATATATATATATATATATATATAATATTATAATCTTATATAATATATTATATAACGTATATAATGTACGTAAGCCACATTTGACAAAATACAATTAATTATATCAATCTAAAAATCGTATATAAGAAGCGTATAAACATGTGGTGAGTAGGTAAACAATTATAATACTAAAGAAAATAGCAGAAAAAAAAATGTTGTTAATTTTTGTTTTTATAAGCGTAGGTACAGAGAAATATAACTTTTGACACATAGTTTTCAACAAGTCTAAAATGAATATCACTTAATCCCTAGAAAAAAGATTTATTTTTTAAAAATTATTATTTCCGTTAATTATTGTCGACCATATTTTAAACGTTGTATATTAACATCTGAAATCCCTTTTGTCATCCTGAAATAAAATGATTAATGCATTATTAGTTATTAGTTAAAAAAATAACAGTAAGTATAGATGGTTAAACATTAGACAAACCTTTAAAATTTAGAGCTTCTTATACCAAAATAAGTAGTGTTCACCATTTTGAACGATTAAATCGTCAACACCGGTCGGAGCTACTAGTTGATTGCTCGGAGGATTTTGCGGGTCAGGACATGTTCTCAGTTTGTACAACAGCCAAAAATGATAACTCATTGGTTCCTCTTTAAGTCCCGATAGAGTATGCACGTAATGACCATTTGGCCATTCCGTAGCTGAAAACCTATGATTAAAAATCGATTGTTATAAAGTTTTGACGAGTAAGATATTGATTTTGATATGTAAGTTTCTGAATAGTAAAAAACAATTTTTTATTTTAAGATTAATATTCGCAACAGAAACCAGGGGAGCTTAATTGTTGGTTAATGAAATAGTGTAGGTACATACAAATTCAATCAACTAAATTTAGTAGTTCGAATTCTGTTCAATCGAAATGTATAATATAACGTAACTTAACTATCCTTAAAAAATATATCGTGATGAACACTATTTTCGGGATTTGTAAAGTACAAAAAATATAGGGATAACGACTATTCTATATTTCTTGAGATTTTTGATTTTAGTGCGTATTATTTTATCAACAGCGATTTCATGACGATTTAACTGAAATATAAATTCAAGGAGTCTGATTTTGAAAACGTTCAAATATGTTTTTCTATTTTAGCACTCCTGTGTATATCAATACCTAGTCATTTGGCATCGCAATACATAACGACAAATCAACATAATACAACGTACGTGAAAGCGCTGTCTAGATCAGACGCTCTTTGCATGATCTCGTAAAACGTGACGTTATGGTCGGCCGTGATGTTGATCGATCGTTTTTCCGTAATGTTGCTGCCGATCCACAGCGAATAGCTGACCGTCACGTTTGTGCCGCTGTCCGAAATCTGTGGCGGATGGTATTCGTCGGTGGCAACGGATTCGGTCACGTTGACGGATGACACCGGACGTTTGGTGTCGACGGCCGACGGGTGCGGTATGATCACCGCGGTACCGACGTTGTCCTTATCTATATCGTTATTCACCGTACATTATGATTAAAGGCGTATTGCTGACCCAACAGAAGTGTGTAACTATACGAATTAGGACGTGGGCTCATCACAGCCCCGACCGCATTTATCCACGTAACCCTCCCCACCCGCACACAACCCCAACACTCACCAGCTCCCGGCCGGACCTCGCAGTGGTCGGCTATCCCCTCGACGACGCCCGACACGCGCGCCAAGGCGATTATCACTTCGGCCGTCGTTGCGATGTCAAAGAAAGCTCCGTCGGGTCCTTGATGGTTTAACAGCCAATCGACTGCGTTCGTCCGGTTCCACGTGGCTTTGCCTTCTTGTAACGCCTGTATAACAGCAGCAGAAACGGATGACGAGTTAAAATTATTCATGAACAAACGTAAAAGGCATTAGATCAATAACACAGGCAAGTTGATTTGGCCGTGGACTGCGGCCGTAGACACACGCGTCACTACGTTGCAGTGGCGCATCTCGCTAGAAAGGGGCGTAAAAAGCGATGACTGATAAACAGTGCTAAGGAGAGGTTTGATTACTCCAAGCGTATTACTTTAGTTTCGTTTTATACTCTCTTTTATTGCGTTCATTTGGCGAGTGATAAATGATAATAATAAGTAAATAAGTAATAATCCCTAGTAGATCAATAAGGCAGACCGGAGCTAATGGGTACCTATACTTTTCATGTTTTTTTTTTCGCACTCACATAATTTTGTTCAATATTTGCCTAATGTTATTTATTGCTAAATAAATATGTAAGTAATTAAATAATATTTACTCATTTATCGTCCAAATGATTAATTGGATTTGATAGTTTAGTAAAAAAATATAAAATAAAAAAAAAAAATGCTATATCAACTATCCCCGAAGGTTAAAATTAAATTAAATAGTTTGGCTGAGATACATTTTATATCTCTTATTTTATGTGTGTCAATTTACTCCTATAACATGTTGCCCTCCCCCTAAATTATAAGCCTATATATTTATATTGTGTATAATTGTATATGTGTAGTAACGTGCTGATGTAAGTAAAGTGCGGTTTTTTATATATAGATTTCATTCTAAGAACATTTGTACAAGTAAACTTTTCAACTTTTGTATAGATAATGATTTATGGTACTCACTCGGATTGCAAGTGCAGTCGTGTGAAGACTACCAAATCCTCCGTCCAGCTGTTGTAACGCTATCAATGTCGCTAATGGTTTCCTGAGTAACGGTTTTACGTTACGGTTGCGATGATCATGTTCTACACACTGAAGGGCTAATATGGCTACACTCAATGAATCTGAAAATAAGCGTACATCATTATTCAATTGTTAAAAAGGCATATAAGTAGTCGGTCTATTAAAATTAAAAATTTAAAATAATAATATGCAGTGATAATTTCACAAAATGTTAAGCCAAAACGCATATTTTTTTATATAACAATATTATTACACCGAGGTTAGGTACTTAGGAAAAAATAATTTACTGCGATGAAAATAATACACTTGCATTGTATATTATAAATAGGTACCAAGATGTAAATACAAAATGTTTGTAAATAATAACCAATTAAAAATTAATCGTTACATTTTTAATCTTCTCGTATTTTGATTTGTATTTTATTTTATCACAATTTTATTGTAATTAAATTTGTAGGCAAGTATACAGGTATGCTTATTGCATTATACTTTTACTATTCATCTATCACTACGGCTGAATTATCATTATAATCTAAAGACAGTTTTTGGTGTCACAATTGATTAGTAACCAAATTCAATATATCTATATGTGTAATATTATAAACCTATATTATATACAGTTCTGGCTAAACATTCATTATTATTATTTTATTACATACGATTATTAAACCTATGATGTTATTGTTTTTCTACTGTATTGTAACTGACCCACTGTATGCTTAGTGTTGGCTATCTCGATTAGTCTTCGAATGTGTCTTTTTCTGACATGTGTACCCGATTCACACGCCACCAAGGAACTATACGAGAAATCCAAATCGGATATAGTTTCATGTTGTAGCAACGAGCCTGAAAAATCAAACTGTTGAATTAACATCACGTTCCACGTTTAAAATCAGCAAGACGATTTCTGGAATCGATTAACATTTTTACAAACTACCAATGGCAGTTATTTTTTTTTATTTATAACTTTTACCAATTAAATCGTGTCCGTGGAATTGTCTTGGATCGTGACAAGCACTAGCCAATGCCATTGAGTACGTCGCAATGTTGGCTACGGTTAATGCTTCGTCTTCGTCATCTTGTTGTTGAAGGGTATCCGAATCTGGGTCGTGGTGTTGCCATAGCCTGGCCAAAAGTTCTATTTCCAATTGTTTGGCGCTCAGTTCTCGTTCCAGAAGTTCCCCGGTTTTCGTCATCTCCATGGCCACAATGGCCTGAGCGGTGTCTGTCCCGGTTCCCCATCCCCAGTCTTTGTTCCGTTGTAAAGTAAGCCAGTCAATAGCTCGTTGTAATTCTGTAACACAATAAAATAAATTAATTTCCGTTCGAACAAACGTGGTTTTAATGAAAAACCAATGACCGGATACGATTGACGCTGAGGGTACAACAAATTACTGCACAAAGCGTCGATAAATACACAAATTCGTGTATTATTTTATTATTTGATGATGGCTTTGTTTTATATTTTTTCATTTTCGAAACCAAAACATTTTATTAATGCGTTTATTGTGAAAATGAATTCTAAACTATAATGTACAAATTGGATTTTGATATAGCATAATAAAGGATTGAAATAAGTCAATAAAAATTGCATGACTGGTGAAAACTCAGTTATTTCAATATGTGTTTTAGAGTTTTATATTAAAATAATAAAATTTATGAGGCTATTAATGGTATATTATTATTACGTTAATTTATATACAAAATATTTTCTATTATATTCGATAGATGTTTAATATTGAACAAACAACGAAAGACTTTTGAGATGAAATCATAATAAAATACTCAATAAAACCAATCAAATAACGACGAATCATTGAAATTTATTGTCAAATTTTCGAATTTATGAATTTAATATTATTATACATTGCAGAATTTGTAACATTTTATTAATATTATTATATTGTATTTTATTAGTTGTTACATATAATATATGGTCGAATCTATAATAGAAATATAAGTACCGGTTTCAAAGAGCGCACCTTTAATTGACTGCTGTATTGTAAGTTATAACTATGTATAATATATACATGTATTGATGTATGTGTAAAAAAGTATATTAGTTATTAATAAGTGATTAGAAATTTTACTTAAGTATTTTAGTATACTTCAGAATATTTATATACAAATATATTAGCAATATTAAAATAATCATCATCAAAACACGAAGCTTCGAGTTAAAATTGACTTATACAAATGATAGGCTTAATGCGAATCATTCAGTAAGTGTATAATGTATGTGTAATATTTACTTAGTTTATCATCATTAGTGTAGTTTGTATTACGTAACAATGATAATATAGCCCACTTATGTGTAGGTAACGTTACCTCCGAATCAACGTTATTTCTAATGATGTAAAGGTTTGACATAACATATCAAATGCCAATATTGCAGATGCAAAATTATTTAGCATTAATTGTCATTTCAACCGTACCCAACATCAACTATAACTAGGTACCTAAATCAATTCATACATAAATCACTTCTGGCACTCTCCGTGTCTAATATTTAACAATTTCTGTGTCAGATTACTATTGTGATATCATACTTAAATCTTGTTCAACTCTGTCAGCACAATATATATATCCAGAATGATCGGTATATGCGACTACACAATTCAATTCAATTAATTTATTGATTACAACAATTTAGAAGCTGTAATACAATGTGCGTGCGTGATTTGATTTAATTGTATAGTTGATCGAGTTTTAAAAATTCTGGTTATTCGAACAATATCTAAATTCTAAGTCTATAGTTAATACACACATATATATATATATATATATATATATATATTAGTATGTAAATTACCATTTTCTTAAAATCGTAAGTAATTAAAGTGATTTAATGAGTCATTTATTTTTTTTATAATTTGAACGATAATATTACATGTTTAAATTTATCATGTTTATTGTAACCGTTATATTATATTATGATATTACGGTATACTAACTATTTTATAGTCTATAACCTCGCCCACAAATGACAGATAAGTAATGTTTGAGCATTGGTAGAGTGCTAGTTTTATACCACTCATTAGTCTTTAATATTGCTATAGTGAAGAACAATATTGTAGACTGTAAACTATAATATCAATTGTGTGTACATTTAATTAAAATAATATAAATTAAATTATGACTTCGTTACTTTCATCTATAATATTTCGTCTTAAACTGGCACAAGTAGTGAGTATTCTATAAAAAAAAAAAAAATACAAATATATAATATTGAAACTCGATTTTGCGATGTAACCGTTGTTTTATTACTTTTATAAATATTATAATTTTTGTTGGTTCATTAAATTTATTTATTTTTAAATATTATTTAATAAGTAATAACTTATAATAAATTATTTTACTCAGGATCATTTGTTGTTAATTTTATAAAACTCAACGCAGATACTTAATTATCAATAAATTATTAACAACGTAAATGCAATATGCTGCTAACTATAATACTATTTAGCCGTATAGGTATATTGATAAGTAAAAAGATTAATACAATTATATTTAATATTTTTGGTAATACAATACATTGACACGCATAAAGAATTATGAAGATTGAAGAATTATAATGTAATATTCATACAAGTACATTCTGCATGATTCATATAAAAGACAATTACATTCATAGTTTGGAATGTATAAGAATTATATTCCAACTATTGGCTAAATATTCATGAAATATTTAAATATGTTATTGATGATTATATTCATACCTAGGTAGTGAAATAGATAAACAGTTTACATTTAGATAAGGCAACGCGACTAAATTTATGATCTTTACGTTTATGGCCAGGGTTTATTTTCATACCATTGTTGTAAGAGTCGTGTAATTCTATAATAAATATAATTTTTATAACTGCGATTTTAATCTTGCTTTCGTTAATCTTGTGAACTAAACTATACATATTATATTATTACTACGATTTATCATGATCTGTTTTTGTAATATAGTCATATTATAATGGTTCCATAATTAAATAGCTGAATAACTGAATAGTTGAATAGCTACTTTATAAGTAGACATTTTCTAGCAGATAACTCAAATAATTTGGTTTCATTCAATGTCTAAATCAAACAAAGCCTGAACATATAAAATGTATTTGTTATGACTCAGGATGATAGTTTTGTCTAGCTCATTTGATTTTAAAGCACGACGATATTCTGTGCCTGTGTGTGTTGAGCTATTGTGCTGAACATATATAATATATAATTATTGATTTGTAATATGTAAAAAGTGTAAATCAATACATCATAATATATTAAGCTTCTTAACAATATGGTTAATTTAAGAATAGTTCCTACACAATAACACTGAAATATAGTTTATGAAATAGTATTTTTTTTATTTTATCAGAGTTAAATATAATGTTTTATAGAAAAATGATGTTTTTTGTATCTATAGAGATAATAAAGTCTAATTAACAAATATACATAATATACGTATATTAAATAATTGTTACAATTTTTGCTGGCCATAATTTTATAAAAATTGCATCCTCAGCTCTTTTTTTTTTAAGATACGTAATATTCAATAGTCAATTAAATAACAAATTTAAAAATTCAAATATATCTATATTTGGTATTAAAAAATACTGTTGGCACAATGATAAATTCTACTTGTTTCATAATAATATTGTATGATTGTATTAATTAAACTATTAGGTCTTAAAAACGGGATGAAGATATTTCTTTGAGATTTAAATTTGTAAAGCTACACATTATGTAGTCATTCCAACTCAAAATGTTATTAATAAGAGATTTAAGTGGTTGTTTGCATAATAATTATTATTATTTTTTATTTTAAAAATATTTATACAATATTTTCTGGAAGATGACAATTGCCCACAACGATTATAACACATCATATAATATTTTATCGAATATTTGTATAGTTAATATCATTCTGACAATTCGATCAAAATTAATTAAACCATATGGGTGTATATAAATACGTGGATATGTATATTCAAATATATTTTAAAAAAGCTAAAAATATTTACAAATAGCAATGTTTAAAACAAAACAAACATCTGAACGGAGGAGAGAATAAAAATAAAAAGCTTAAACGATTTAGTTGTTTGCAAAAATGACTAGATTTTTCCAAATTTTGTTTGAATAATTTAAAAATAATTTAAAAGTTAAAAATTTCAAATGCATATATAAATATCTCAAAAAGTATCTATTTAGGATATTATAGTATGTATAAAAATTACAAATATAAACATGTTTGGTTAAAATTTCTAATAACTGCGATTATTCGTTTTTTAATTATAACAAAAATGGTTTGAAGAGAAAACGTATATTATCCATAGTCGTAAAACTTTGAAATCCAAACGGTCATAAACAATTAATCTGACTTGCTGGTAGAATTTTTTTGAATTTAGATTTAAAAACTAATGAAGAGTTTTGTAATAATATTTTTAATTTTAAACTTGAAATTTGAAAGAAATTATTTTTATGAATTTCTTACTATAAAATAACTTGTATACATTTTGATGATTTTGTCAAGATTCTATCTTTAAATACAAAACAAAAACTATTGTTACTATACATTTTTGATATTTTTTTAGTTAGTAAATAATCAACTAATGATAAAACTCATAATAAATTTTTAAGAATTTTTACGTACATTTTTCATCGGTATTTCTAGAGAAAAATGAAATAAAATATATAATTTCATATGATTATAAATAGTTCAAAAAAATAAAAAATATTTTGAAAATTTTCTCATACATAAAAAATGATAGTTAAACAATGTTTAAACATTTGGTAATAATTTTAAGTATCTAGAGTTGTTTGTTTTATAAATAAAAATGTTTGTTCTATATATAAAAATATATAGGTACAATAAAATTTTAAAATTAATACATAAATCACTTCGCTCGGAATTTTAAATACTAAACAGGGGTAAACATGGAAATTATAATTAGCACAATAATTAATTTGAGTAGTATTACAATTAAAGAATATTTAATAAATATTTAATATTTATGTATACCTATTTATAATTTTTTGTATATTTTGTATATTTTAAATAAAATATTACTTTAACATTTCAATATTTAAATCGGGATAAGAATAGGACATTAAAACTTTATTTTTTTTTTATTGATTGTAAGAGAGGGTCATAATAACAGGTGATATTTCACTTAAGAGTGTTTAAATAAGTTAATTGTCACTTAAATGTAATGTATTCAAGATAAGGACGACAATTAAATAAATAGAATTTTGTATAGGCATACTATAAATCGAAGTATCTTAAAATTAATTTTAATTATTTAATTTGACTCATGTGAATTGTACGTATTACGTCAACATTATTTTTACTATTTTCTGTTTTATTTGTATTAATAATTCTTATTTTGAATTGAACCATAGTCTAAAAAGGAGTTAATAAAAAATGTAACTAAATTTGTTTTCACGCACAAAAATATAAAACACTCATAATATATTTATTTTTATTTTCTAGATTCTTTCTTTTGGAAGTATCATACCAGTGTTCGCCGAATTGCCTGTTACCTTTTCACAGTTCACTTCAGATTTCACGTACTTAACGTTGTACAGTTACCTAGGAATTGGTATTATCACTCTGGTGAGCTTATGTATAGCAGAACCAGTCTCTGATAAATTGGTAAACATAATACATATATATTATATTTTTAATGTACACATTGCTCAAATATTCTAAAAGGCCAAAGATTTCCGCCCTTAAAGACCTAACCTTTAACATAATACATACTCATGTAAATGTCTATCATTGCAGGTTTTAATAGTACCCTAGAGAAACTTTTTTGAAATCTTTAACTCTCGTTAACCATTCCCCTTCCTCCCTACTTCCCATTCTATATTTCATCGCTTACACTTTATATGATGTATGCGGTTCAAAGTTTGAGTATATTAAGTATATACTCGGTAAGCAAATAGCCCGAGGGTTTTACCATAAATTTAAACTGAAAACCTCACGTCCATAGAATTATTAATGAACTCGGGGTCACAAAATTCAACGGTTTTTTTACATATAGGTATACTTATACGTTTTGAGGTAAACCTTCAATAAAATAGAATTTAAAAACTACATTTATCGTGAAGATTATCGTCTATTGAACTTATAAAGTTTGAACTTATAAAAATTTTATATATAATCATATAGCTTATAACCTATATATTTTTATTAATACCCTGTTTCTTAAATAATACTATAGTCTATAGGTACTATATTATATAGTAAGTATTACTATAATAGTCTATACATATAATATTGAAAAAATAAAGTTTAATATTTTAAAATGTAATTTAATATTTTGTTTTGACGAAGGTCTTCTTTTTTTCATAAAAATATATTTGATTAATGAAAATGTTTATCATCGGCAGTATTATATCTTAAAGTTTCTTGAGTTGACATTACGACATTTGCAGTAAAAAAGTTTATTATAAATGTATTTAACATAAAATATTAATTTTATAAAATAAAATAATAAGTTAGGGTTTTATTTATCGCTGAATCAATGTAGGTTAGGTTGTATACAGTTAAACAACTACGCCTTAAAAGTAAATAATAATTTTTATTTATTTTTTTTTTATCACAATATTATAATTGTTGAGTACTTATCTACCTGACAATAAATCGCGGTTGTTTAAATATTAGGGAAAACATTTTCGATTGACCTCGATAACATTTTATGTGACATATGAACATTTAAAAGCTGCACGTGTATTAAGTTACACGAGTTCATTCACTACTCTTCATAAATAAATTACAATGAAATATGATGTATTATAGGTCATAATAGTCATACACATATGACTAAATATTTCAAATAAATTTAATACTTAATATTTCTTTATTGGCATAATAATTAATATTGGTATCCATTTACTGTATCTTTAACTAAAATATTAACTATTGTGTTAAACAGCTATCCATTTTGTGAGATTCCCAATAATTAAATTTCCTTTTTCGTTTTTAAAACAAGTGGAATTCTAGCATAGTTATTTGTTAATTTTAATAACTCAAAGGGCAAAAAACTTGTATTTAATTAGACCAGGGATCGTAAATTAAATTCTATGTCTATCTAGATCAGCGGTTCCCAAATTGTGCTCCGCTGAGCCCTTGGGCTCCGCAATGGTTTCCCAAGGGCTCCGTTCATTATTGTTCGTATGTATACAGTTCGTGTTAATTATGCTTCATAGAACACAAGCAAATACAAATGAACGTTAAATATTTCTTGGGGCTCCATGAGAAACTTCTCCTTAAAAAAAGGTTCCGAGGCTGAAAAAGTTTGGGGACCTAATACTGTTATTATGAACGACTTTTGAATGTACAATTTATTTTAAATGTTAAATCTTATCAGATTATAATTATTTATTATTATTATTTTGTTCCTTCTCACGATAAAAAATGTATAACACCCGAGTTCATTGCTCTTTTAAATTAATAAGTGTAGTATATACCACCACGCATGATGTTAACACATTAAATAATTTTATTGTAAGTCGTAGTTATATATAGACTTTTAATTTATTTCTACAAATACGTTTATTATTTTGTACCTATGCATTGCAATTTTTTTTTGTATCCTTAATTGACTGCTGTCAATTGATGTTTATCAACGTAATCATCAATATTTCATATTATAATATATTTAATATACTTATTCTGTGAAAATAATAATATAATGGGTTACAATATTTTAATAGAGGTGCATTTTTCAAACCATATATATGACATGTATACATTAGTATTTTACATGACAAAATTCTATGAATAAACACTTCGTCCGTCCGTACACGTCAGAAAAATTTCACACGCTAAATTGTTTAAAGGTACGCGCTATAATAATATAATAATCCGGCTAATTCGACGACGTTACTTGCCACCGCCGTCGTCAACGCACACGCACACACAGGAAAAGGTATGTCGAACACATAATGAAGGGTTAATATGACCCTATACGGCTATATATATATTATAAACACGCACATACACATATAAATTATACGCGTCTGTGTGCAGGGAAAATTAATGAGCCAGCTATATTGGGTATAAAAAATTCATTGTCACACGCCGCCGAGGGAAAAACTTGCGTGTTGAACAACCATAGTAGAGGAAAGAGGTTCGTTATTATTTCATATGTTATAATTATATTTCGATGGTTGACAGAAAATTGGATGCGAAATATTATAACAACACGCGCGCGACCCACACACACATACACACACACACTATAGCTAGCCCGACGATCAATATCACCCGGCTGATTGTTGTATTATGTTTCGCAAAATACACCGCAGGCCTTTGCGGTATATGTTCGATATTTAATAAAATTATGTGGGTGTACAGTTAGCACTTGAACGAATCAAAATAAAACAAAACGTTTGCCTGGAACGTGTTTATATAATATGTAGGTACCTATCCGCTGAGTTAACGACGTATTTATTGAGAGGCAATGAGTATCAGCTAAAGAATAAACTCCTTCACTAGAAATTTGATATTTGTTATTATTAACAATACACCAAAATAGTAAACGTATGTACATTTTTGAAAATAATAGAATTTATAACTTTTATAGATGTTTAAAAGATATTCAAAAGACATCATGCGTTTATTGTTATATACAAATGGCTGTGTTAAATATGATTCAATGATCTTGTGATACTAAATTATAGGGAGTGTTTGGGGAGAAAATCCATTGCTTTTTGAAAACTATCCAATCTCTCTCGAGTATCTGCCTCCACTTTCCTAATTAAATATTCTTAAATACGTATTTGAGTCACGCCACACCAAAAATCTACTGTCCGGTTCGTTCTTAATTTAATTTACACGGTCTCCCAGCCAAGTGCGCACGTGCTCGGACGTCGTTTTACAATATTATTGTTATTATATATATATATTATACATTAATTGTTTTTATGGTTGCTACATCGAGTGCCGTCGTTTCTAGGCCCTATATTCTTCGAGTTTGGCTGCGATCCTGCACCTGATATCGGCATTCTTTATTATTAAAGACGTATTCAGCTACGACTCGCTATGGGGACTGCGGATCATCAGTGGACTGTTCACCGGAGCGAACACCGTAGCCTACGGATGGGAAGTGTTATACGTGACAAAATTTATCCATCACTGATGACGCGATGACGGCTCTCTACGCCGGAAAAAAGAAACAACAATCGGTCAAAAAGTTAATGTACTAATAATAGGTATCTCTTTTGTCCTCTCCTATAGGCTCTATATTATTTAATTCTCCGTCGCCATATTATCGTATAGCATGTGTACATAAGACAGAATAAGCGTCGCTATTGTATTTGTACAGGAATATCAATACATATATATATATATATATTATGATATAAAAAATACTATTTATAATAATATAATATATTTTAACGATTAACATAATTATCTATTAATTTATATCATTGATATCATTGATATTATATAGCCGATGCAGCAGACTTTGTTTTTCCCACAAGGAATTGTTTGTAAATTACGACGACTGTACGCCATTGGCCGTGAAAACAAAAATTGTGAGTTAAAAATATATAATATGCCCTCAGCGAATTTCAAATTTCTGTCGAACACATAACGTTACTTTCTTCAAACGAGAAAAAAAACTACCGCCTGCTCGTGTCGTCAATCATAGTCGATTATTATACTATAATACTGTCGGTCTTACCTGATTTGTCTTTGACGGCATTTTGGGCGGCGGCCAGATGTGCAGGTAGTACGACCGCAATGACAACGGCGGCGATGATTATCGCAGCAGCCGGTGGCCACCGTGGTCGTCGTCGTGTAGCCATATGACTACGGTGGTGCGACTACGCGGTGGTGCCGGGACATTGAGGCGACGTACTCCGCGGCGTCAGTGGCGGCGGCGTCGGCGTCAGTGAGGGCTCCCGACCAGTTGCGCCGCGTGCGCGTTCGATAAGCTACCGCCGCCTTGCCGAATCCGCTGGCCACGCCTACCGCACAACGGTCAACGCGACGCCACCGCTAGGCATCTGTGGCGCCTGTACGTCGCCGCGCCGATCGACAAGCGGGCGCGCGCTCTTCGCGGGGGCGAGCTGTTTGGTAGGGGGTCGTAATGGGGGCAGGGGAGGAGAACGTAACCTAGATCGCAAATACTTTTTATTTCTTATACCCCCTCACCACCCCCGTCCGACGAGTGGTAGCCGTTGTTGCCGTCACTGCACGGTGCGCACACCTCTGCCCGTTTACCGCCAACGCTGCGGCAGCAGCAGCAGTGGGAGGAAATACAAAACATATATTAAAAGGTTCGCCGGAAGTGTAGGTATATATGTCTGCTGCTGTGCGACCGACGCACTTGTCGGACGAGAAGTAAATACGTATATGTATATAAATGCGGTTTGGATACGTGCTTGACGGCGGATGAAGGAGAAATGAATATTTCCGGCACGATTGAAAATCAATTTACCCTCTCCCGCGGTTAGGTCACGCGAATGCTGCACGGTTAGAAGAAATGCCGAAAATGCTGTAAAAAGAAAAAAAACCAAGATTATATATTAATATACGCGCATTTCGTTTATTAAATCGTATATATACATGTATATTAGGTACACGGACGATGACGAAATATAAATATATATATATATATAAATATGCGTATCTTTGAAATATTACTGGCATAATATCGTCGTTATAATATATATTGCATAAAAGTTCTGCAAAGGTACCTATAGGTACTTGGTCGAAATTCCTTCGAGTATGAAATTGCTCTTATATCGCTAATGCGATATTGATGAATTCTGCCGCTGCCGCACTATGTATGTATATTAGACACACGTGTACGGTAATACTTATACATATACATAGATTTATAAGATCATACTATATATAGCCGTTGTTCAACAACGGACCGCTGAGAAAATATAATATTGACGAATATCGTGAACAACAGTCCTGCTGTTTTTGATATTACATACAAGTTCAAGTGATATCTCATATACGTAGGTACCTACATAGATATTTTAAAACCTACTGAAAACTAATATTATAATAACATAGGAATATTGTGTAATGTTATTGTATCTTGTGCGCATGTATATTGTTTTTACTTTCCGCCTAAGTATGTGTAATCGTAAATATAAAATACGATCAAATTGGAAATTCTACGCAAGATTAACACTCATAATTACCGATCGTCATTCACTGTATTAAATACTTTACCATTATTTATTGATTTTAATACTATTAATGTATCAAATAAACAATAAAGTTATCCATTAATTAAATGCATACACGAGGTATCATGTTTTAATATGAATCACGTTATTGATTTTCGACGCCTTTGCATAATACAACATAATCGTAGCTCGATCTTGTCTCGAAAATTTTCTGAGGATTTCATCGTTTAAGGTAAACAAAACTTTGTGGGATTTTTGGCGAGTGGACTATTTGATATTGTTATACAAACATTAAGCTTTTTATCCAGTATGTGCAGAAGTATATTGCGAAAATCTTTAATTTTTTTATTTTATTGATATATGTTTAAAAATAACGAACATTACAAACAATTTTGTCGTTCAAATCTTTAAAAAAAAATTATAATCTTTTCAATTTAAATACCTAAAGCCGAATAATATTTAGTACAGACTTTCATAAATTATTATTTTTATTGAAATAATTAAAAGTTAAGAGTAAATAAGGCAATAATTACATTTTTATGAAGATTTGAAAATTAAATCTTGACAAAATCGATTATTGAAATAAAAAATAAAAATTTCTATTTAACAGTATTAGTTAAGATATTATAAACTAAAATATTATTTATGAAAGATTTCAAAATCCCTATAATTATATACTTATTATCATTTATTTATTATTTTTTTGTTGTAATGTTCTTATAAATTTTAGATCAATTTTAAGTAATTACAATTTTTTTAGTTTGTTCAGGGTTTTCCCAGTGTTAAGACTTATTAACATGATACAATGTCCCTTTTAAGATGTTACTCACAGAAATTTTAAAAATATCGAAAAAAGATGAGCATAGTTTTATTTGACAATAAAAATAAAGTATTATATTTTATTTATGTTTTCTCGGAATGCTTTCTTCGTGCATACTTCCAAATTATTCTACTTATATATCTGTATACAAGACCCTATATAGAAAGTCACTCTCCGATTATTATTCTAATAACTATGATTGCTCTTCATGTAAAATGCAAGTCATTTATATGCAAATGAATGATGAATTATTTTTGTCAAAATATTTATGAATTTTAATACCTAAGAAAATATTCTACAGAGTACTTTTTTATGGAAACTTTAAACTCTGTATGTTTTTAAAAGAAAATATAAAAATAACTTGTTTTTCATTCGTTTTTAGAGACTAAACTTCCATAGCCCTTTTCCTGTTTTCCACCAATGACAATGTTATCCTTAAAAATTAAAGAAAAATATAAAATTCCTTTTAAAATGAAAATTACTATTTTTTAAAGATTGTAAATGATTACTTCCCATATTACAAAACACAAAAAATGTAATTGCATAATGCACAGAATCTAGAATTTTAAACTAGATACATTAGCATTAAAAAAAAAAAATCATGTATTTCTTTAATAATTTAAAGTATAAGAGAGAGGTTCTTATTTGAAAAAAAAGTTTGTGTCACTTCTTAAATAATAATGGTATAGAAAAATATGAATATTTTAAAATGCCGTCTTTAAAAAGTTTTAAAGTTACAAAAATCAGAATTCTGATAAATTAATTATTAAAGAACAAAAAAGGTATACTCATTATGGAATAATCACTTTGTATACGTGTCCATAATAGGTAAGTTTGAAATAGGTATAAATAGTGAACTTTGTAGGACCGGTAAATAGGTATAGTAGGTACGAAGTTTAATAAATTCATATATTATGAGAAACAGTTGTACAATGGTAACTTTGTTGGTATTGATCTTGTTTAAGCTCTGAGTCATCAGTCTCGACAAAAATTTTATGATGTTTAATTATTTATTTATTGAGTTACATATCCGGTATGATTGTTTAATAGGTAGGCATAAATAAATTATGAATACAATTCAACAAACACAAATCATGTCCATACAAATTGCATCAATATTGTTCTTTTGTACTATTTTGGTTCAACGCATTTTTTCGGAATTGTCATTAACAATATTTATGTATACGAAAAATAACGACGATAAAGCTATTAAATTGAATGTCGATGCTTTTCACCGAAAAATCAAGTATATTAGATCACTTTAAAGTTTAATATAACTCTGACGTGGTTCAAAGGATTATACGGCACAGTTGCGGTCACTCTTTTTTTTATACCTATGAACTGGTTTTACAATACTGACATAATAATAAGTAAAGCTTATATTAGAGTAAAATCACAAACTTTTCTTCTTTTATGTTATTTTTAAAATGTCTAAAAATTAATTTTTTAGAGCAAAAAATTACTTAATATATTATAAAATGAACTATAAATAATTGACATATCTCAATAAAATTGAGTCTACTAATTAATAATTATATAGAAAAATACAACTTACCCGCCGTCATCACAATGCAATATTATAATTGTAATTATCGCATTGATATTGATAACGTTCTACCAGTTTGTATATAAAAATAACATAGAAATAGGAAAGTTTTATTTTACTCTAGCATAAGTTTGATTTTATTATTATTTATTACTATTATGTTAGTATTGTAAAACCAGTTCATAGGTATAAAAAAAAGTGAAAAGTGCCACCAAAAAGGTGTTGACAGCAACTGATCGACCGCATCTGTGCCGACAGCGTTCAAAGTTGCTCTACAAAGCATAAAACATAGAATATTATTATTATTAATGAACCCTATATGAACTTATTAACAAACTTAAAGGATTCATTCACACACGTTACTATTGTATACTTGGTATAATAATTAATAGTTGGGCACGTTCTTTAAATTTGGAACTGTAGTGCGTAGATACATAATATTATAATTTGATATCTACACATATGCCAAAATATATCTTATACATTTAGTTAGTTGTCCTAAGTGTCTACTTAAAAACCAATATAGTGTCTTATTGTTGTTTTGACTTAATATTATTTTTCGATATCATTGTGATATAACACAAAACTATATCGTTTGTTTTGCGGACTTAGCCAGTATATATAAAACACTGTCAATGCTTTAAGTTAAAATAGTATTGTGATTTACAATAATGGTTATTTGGAAATTTTTCGTGATGTTTACAGTTTTAGTTTTTATAGAATCACAGAGAACAGAAATACGATTATAACTTAGCCTTTAACACCCCTGTTATATTGTCGTTGCGCAGTATATAACATGTCGACTCGGTGATAAATGTGGCGCCACAAAGACCCAAGCAAGTGTAACGAATCGGATGAGTCAGCTTTGCGAAGGGGACCCAGAGCTTTTAGGAACTTTTGTTCATTTGTCGATAATGACGCAAATCTGTACAGTGTACAAATATGTAGAATAACTATAGTTTTAGATTACTCTAATATTTTAAATTCCATTATACCTTTTATACATTATACATTATACAATAAAAGTAAAATCAAATCAATAAAAATTAAACTTAAAGATATTAGAGCCCATTGCGATAGCGCGCTAAGCATTTAATTTTATAAATGGTCAAATTAAATAACAAGTAAAAGTATTCTAATTCTTTAGAGAAAATGAATTGGTAAAATTATCATAAAAATATACATAATGTTTCTAGTGTTTCTACACCATAAATATATATATATAAATATAATTATTTTACAGTTATTTTAAAAAATGTAATTAAGATCTATTTTTAATATTCTATTTAGTAATTATTGCGCTAATTAATTGTAGTGAAATATGACATTTATATGCAAAAAATATTGTTGGATTAAAATATAAAACTTATTAAGACGTCGGTTTGTTCTTAAAC